ATAGCGATTCTCAGGAGGTTGTCAAAGCAATGTGGTCGTCAGTGAAGGTTTTAAAATATGTTTATATCAACTGCTATAAAACATCAATAAAACAAAAATTGTTACTTGGGTAGGCTGTCTGACGTTCATGGTACTGGCCTGAAATAAATGGAACTGTCCTGAAACTTTTGAACATCTCTGAAGTTCTCTGGAGTTCTATGAAGTTTCCGTAATATTTCTGATACATATTTCCTTTGCTCTAGAATTCTCAGGTCTCAGAACTTTTTTAGGCTTCTCAAAATTTTGGAATGGAACTGTCTTGAATTTATTGGAACCTACCCTTACAGATCTTTAAACTTACCAGAAATTTTGGACATTCCTGAAGTTCCAGAAAGTCCCTCAAGATCTCAAGATCTAGCTGCTCTGAGATATTTGAAACTTCTTTAAAATTCAACAATTTTCCTCAAGTTTTCTCTTCTCTGAAGTTCTTCTTCTACTTTCTTCTTTTGTTTTATATAGAGACTTTTACCCATTAGCTGGTTCGTCTCTAGCGCTTCTGAAGCTCTATTGATATCCCTGAAGTTTTCTAAATATCTCAAAAGTTCTCAGAACTTCTGCAGTTTCCTGAAGCTCGTGGAACACCTTAAAATCATTTACGCATCCCTGAAGTTCCCAAAAATTTTCAAAAGTTTTCTGAACTTCCCTTATGTTCCGGCAGTTTGTTTATGAAACATTCGTGAAATTTTCGGCATTTTGTTTCACTTCTCAGAGCGATTATAAAGTTCCCAAATTTTTTCGTGAGTCCACTAAACTTTTCTGAAGCTCATAGGACTGTCCTTAAATGGTCGAAACTTCTTCCAGGCTCCTGCTACTTCCCTGAAATCTTGTAACTGCCCTGAAGTTGTCAGAACTGGCAGTTTCCCTGAAATTAATGGAACTGCACTCAAGCTTGCTGGTCTTCCTGCACTGAAGTGAATTTTTCTGAAATCTTTGAGACTTCGGACTATCGGATCATCTTGGAAATTTTTGGACTTCTAATTTCCCATGGAAATTTTCAGATCTGTTAAAAAGCTCCCAAGTTTTTCTGATGTTAATGATGCTATCATGTGAAAACCTATCAAATAGGGTTAATTGTCCTAATGTCGACCTAAGTGTCCCTAATATTGGGAAAGAATTTTTTGACAATTTTTCACTTAGGAAATATATTTATTTTAGATTAGACTCCTCATCTTTAGATGCACAGGCCAACAGTAGAGCTATTTCCCCTATTTACAAGTTTAAAATTATTGAAAATGTTTGGATTATGTTTCTTCAATATTTCGTCACCTTAAGCGCGCCAATCGAAAAAGTCCATCCAAAATATTCTTAATTACTTTGTAAATGTAGATACCTGTCATTATAGGAGCATATTAGTATTCATGAGGTGGATTACATTAAATCAAACTTTTTGAATTTTATGGGTGCAAACAATATGTGACACACTCACATTTCCAGAATTTTTTTTCAAACGTTCGTTTTTGAATTTGAAATATTTTCATTCCACATTGAAAAGCGTATGGTGGTTCTAGATGAAGACAAAACATTTTTAGGGGTCACTCTAAGATATTTTTCACAAACCAGTATAAAACGTGGAACATTTAATATAGACAATTGATGTCTTCAGCAAAGATGCTTCAAATAAATTGTTCTACGAGTTTGGTTAACATTGTACCGGTCCATCTCAAATAAAGGGTGATACGGTCAAAATTTGGTCAAGGGAAAACGCGTGTAAATCGGTGAAATCGTTTATTTAAAAAATCAAATTATATTTCTTTTTCAAGTTCAATTAGTATAAAATTCAGGAAAAATATTCAGTTAGGCTTCCGCTTTTCCAAATTCGAATTGCCGGGCCTTACGCTTGACCCTTGCCATCAGATTTTGTATAACCACCTTGTCCACCTTCTTCGCCGCAGAAAGCCAGTTTGCCTTGAACTGCTGCTCGCCCTTAGCAGTTTTTTTGGTCTTCTTTAGGTTCCGCTTGACAATAGCCCAGTATTTCTCAATTGGGCGGAGCTCTGGCGTGTTGGGAGGGTTCTTGTCCTTGGGAACCACCTGCACGTTGTTGGTGGCGTACCACTCCATGGCCTTTTTACCGTAATGGCAAGATGCCAAATCCGGCCAAAACAGTACGGAACAACCGTGTTTCTTCAGGAAAGGCAGCAGACGTTTATTCAAACACTCTTTCACGTAAATTTCTTGGTTGACAGTCCCGGAAGCTATGAAAATGCTGCTTTTCAAGCCACAGGTACAGATGGCTTGCAAAACCAGATATTTCTTTGCGAACTTTGACAGTTTCATGTGCTTGAAAACATCTGCTACCTTTCCCCTTCCTTTTGCCGTATAAAACTCCTGTCCCGGAAACTGCTTGTAGTCGGCTTTGACGTAGGTTTCGTCGTCCATTACCACGCAGTCAAACTTCGTCAGCATCGTCGTGTACAGCCTCCGGGATCGCGCTTTGACCGTCGTATTTTGTTTATCATCGCGATTTGGAGTCACTACCTTCTTGTAAGTCGATAGTCCGGCTCGTTTTTTGGCTCGATGCACGGTTGTAGACGATACACCCAGCTTATTTGCGGCATCTCGGAGAGAGAGGTTAGGGTTTCACTTGAAACTACCGGCAACTCTCTTTGTCGTCTCAGCGGCTTCCGGTTTTCGATTTCCCCCCGATCCAGACTTCCTGGCTGTCGACAAATGTTCCCCAAACACTTTAATTACATTTGTAACGGTTGATTTGGCAACTTTTAGCGATTTTGCCAACTTTGCGTGCGAGTAGCTCGGATTTTCGCGATGCGCGAGCAAAATTTTGATACGCTGCTCTTCTTGCTTGGACGGCATTTTGACAACTGAAGAGTGAATTCCAAAATCAAAATAGGAGCAACATTCTACACACACACACCTTCAAAATGAGGGGTGTTCAGGTTTTTTAAATGCAAAATTGAAAGAAATACGTCAAGTTGATATTGACCAAATTTTGACCGTATCACCCTTTAAATAAAAAATTGATATTTAGAAATCCCTAACCATACCATCACAACCTAACTCACAGCAAAAGATTTAATACGACAAATGGAAAAGTTGAAAATGGCTTGGGCACAAATAATTGATTCCTCTTATAGAAGACTTTTGAAGCACTGTGCATTGGGTCGAAAATCGCGACTATAGTCACAACTGGCACATCTACACTCAAAGATAAATTAAATCAAAAAAGCCTAAATAGTATGCATATTCCCGCTTCACCTTATTGAGACCGAGCCATGATTACTTCGGCAGTAGTCATGCATGATTAAATTTGAAAAAAATCTTCCCAGTATTAAATTTTATTCTTTTTCAATACTGATATATAATGAAAAAAGATTAAAATTCAAACAAAAATTATTGAAATAGGGTAAATGTTGGCTTCGGCACCCATTGACTGTTTTCGGCAACCAAAATTTAAACGTTAATTTCACTATGTTTTCCCATCAACGCACTTCCCTGAATGTGTCCAAACGATTGTTTAGCCTTTCAGCTTCAATCTGATTATATTTGAACGATCGAGCAATCCAGTAATGCTACATTTTTCTTCAAATAAAGCATACGCACTACAAAATGGGGTTGATTTCGAGTTGCCGATAATAGAACAGCTGGTTAACACGCAGTTCTAATGGGAAGGTTGCCGAAGAAAAAGAGGCTGCCGACAATAGTCACACTCACCTGAGAAGTTTGGAGCGTTGTAAAAACGCTTTCAAAACGTTTTGAAAAATTCTGTCGATTGGAATGGATAGAGAAGCAAGCAGCAGATGAATGTAAACAAACAGACACATCATATATGTGCGTGACGCTGAGAAAATGCTAGTAGAAGTGCAGACGCTGCTTAGATTGACGAGAATACGTAAATTCCCCTAGAATCAAACATGATTAAAATTTATTCAAAAAAGATAATCTTCAATCTAATCAACCATCATTAAACTTGGATTAATATCAGATGCTTATTTTATATTGATTTTTAATCATTCGATATGATTAAACCGAGCTTAATGTCAAATTGATTAAATTTCAAGCAAAATTTATTTAACTTTCCATAGACTTCGATATTTGAAAAATGTTATGATTCAAAAAAAATTCAGAAAATGTTCATCCATGATGCGTTTATACCCTTTCAAAAATTCTATTGCTATTATCATCTTTTTTTTTCAATTCTGGTGCGATTAAATTAATTTACCATACTGAAAATACCACTGATATTTTAGGTGAATCATCTGATAATTTAGACATTCCTATAAGTTATAAAGCAGGTGGGATAAAATTCAAAAACTCTTGTTTTGAACAGAGAAAAACAAACTTTAAAACAATTTTAAGCTATTTATTTTAGACTTGAAACAACAGTTTTGGACGTAAATGGGTCTGAAACATCACCTTCACACTAAACAGCCTAATCAATACTTCGAAAATCGCCGTTGAAAAACCTATTCAACATTTATTCCTAATTCACCCTGCTTAAATTATTGTCCACAAACTTTCCCACTGTTGCCCTCGGAAAGTGTAAATGCCCTCGAAAAAAAAAAACAAAGCAATAAATTCAAAGTGCCACCGCATAAGAACGGGCTTCAAACCCATATTTTGCCACCATAAACCTTCATAAACGATGGCAAGTAATTGAAACCCGGTGAACTTTTGAACCACCTATTCTGACCTGCCCCTCGAGGAACAACAAACCGAATATCTCTGGATCTGGATACCCGCAATCGACGGCACGCCATAAACACCAGCCGAACAGTTTCGTCCGGTCGGTTAGATCGTTGCGATTAGGAGGACGAGAGGACCCCGCCGAATTCTGGACGCCCGGAGGAGTGCAATAAGCTTCCTTCTGCCAGCGCAAGAGCTTTGTTTGTCTTTCTCTTTCTTGTGCCATAAAGTTATGGTGTATGTGTGTGATTAGGTATATATTCGCGTTGGGACGGATGCAATGATCAAACAAAAGGAAAAGCGCCAATATTACTCACCTGCTTCTTCAGTATGATGTGTTTACCCTTCCAGTACTTCATCATTCCGAGGGCCTGAAGTGTGCTGACGATATCGTACGAATTGATGGCCATTTCCTGAAATCATAAAACATTGTTCGAACCGGTTAGTACTCTGGCGGTGGCTTATACACGTTTCCTGTTGAACCCCAAAAATTGAGCGTTAATATTTATTACACCAGCACACAGCAGACACAGGTCCCGGCTGGAGAGGTTGACCGATCGCTTCCGACGCTGATCGGTCGGTCAGAGGGTTTTCGGAACGGGGTGATGTTATCGAAAATTGTAACGATGTAATAAGGGAATGATCTCAAGCAAGTACCTACGGCAAACCTTTGATGGAACACACACGGTCGATTAGTTCCTACCAAAACATGTTTGGACGGACTAAACTTGACGGTAATAATTTTCAGGACGGCAGTTCTGGAAGTAATTATGTACATTCATGTGTGCAGTTGCATGGAGTCAATTATAATAAAACCACAGACAAACGGACATAACTCTTTACATGCTGTTCATCGTTTACTAATTTAAATTTCTCAAATAGTGTCTCTAGCAGTGTTCCGTTCTACTGGCATGGAAGTCAAAACAAAAATTGTAACCGAAAATATATTCCAGATTACAAACTCGGATCGAAGATAGGATGATTAATCAGCTGTACGGGCGCACTATAAGTAGATCTATGAAATCTTAACTGGTGGTAGATCAAATATTATCAGTATTGTTTTGGGTTTGTTTGACATGATAAAGGGTGATACGGTCAAAATTTGGTCAAGGGAAAACGCGTGTAAATCGGTGAAATCGTTTATTTAAAAAATCAAATTAAATTTCTTTTTCAAGTTCAATTAGTATAAAATTCAGGAAAAATATTCAGTTAGGCTTCCGCTTTTCCAAATCCGAATTGCCGGGCCTTACGCTTGACCCCTGCCATCAGATTTTGTACAGCCACCTTGTCCACCTTCTTCGCCGCAGAAAGCCAGTTTGCCTTGAACTGCTGCTCGCCCTTAGCAGTTTTTTGGTCTTCTTTAGGTTCCGCTTGACAATAGCCCAGTATTTCTCAATTGGGCGGAGCTCTGGCGTGTTGGGAGGGTTCTTGTCCTTGGGAACCACCTGCACGTTGTTGGCGGCGTATCACTCCATGGCCTTTTTACCGTAATGGCAAGATGCCAAATCCAGCCAAAACAGTACGGAACAACCGTGTTTCTTCAGGAAAGGCAGCAGACGTTTATTCAAACACTCTTTCACGTAAATTTCTTGGTTGACAGTCCCGGAAGCTATGAAAATGCTGCTTTTCAAGCCACAGGTACAGATGGCTTGCCAAACCAGATATTTCTTTGCGAACTTTGACAGTTTCATGTGCTTGAAAACATCTGCTACCTTTCCCCTTCCTTTTGCCGTATAAAACTCCTGTCCCGGAAGCTGCTTGTAGTCGGCTTTGACGTAGGTTTCGTCGTCCATTACCACGCAGTCAAACTTCGTCAGCATCGTCGTGTACAGCCTCCGGGATCGCGCTTTGGCCGTCGTATTTTGTTTATCATCGCGATTTGGAGTCACTACCTTCTTGTAAGTCGATAGTCCGGCTCGTTTTTTGGCTCGATGCACGGTTCTAGACGATACACCCAGCTTATTTGCGGCATCTCGGAGAGAGAGGTTAGGGTTTCGCTTGAAACTACCAGCAACTCTCTTTGTCGTCTCAGCGGCTTCCGGTTTTCGATTTCCCCCCGATCCAGACTTCCTGGCTGTCGACAAACGTTCCCCAAACACTTTAATTACATTTGTAACGGTTGATTTGGCAACTTTTAGCGATTTTGCCAACTTTGCGTGCGAGTAGCTCGGATTTTCACGATGCGCGAGCAAAATTTTGATACGCTGCTCTTCTTGCTTGGACGGCATTTTGACAACTGAAGAGTGAATTCCAAAATCAAAATAGGAGCAACATTCTACACACACACCTTCAAAATGAGGGGTGTTCAGGTTTTTTAAATGCAAAATTGAAAGAAATACGTCAAGTTTATATTGACCAAATTTTGACCGTATCACCCTTTATGTATGAACATTGAGCCATTTTAGTTAAAGGCTTTTTTCAATAAAATTAATTTAAATTTGGAACGGAACTTTACCAATTGTTCATCGTTTCACTTGGATATAATCAAATCGATTATTTTTGTTCTCGGCCTGTCGTGGTGGTTACTCATGGTTACTCCATTAGAATGATTTTTGAGCGCAAATTTTCGATCTATATGCTATTATTTAATCTAGGCTGCATCATCTAATCCAGGCTGCATAAGGAAATTATTGGACGCCCATCTAGATTATTATGCGCTCATGTGTGCAAAATATCGTTGCAAACATACAACATCGAAAATATTGTGTTTTCATCCAGAATCAATCATCACCCTTAAATGTGGAATGAAAGTATAACAAATTTAAAAACAAACGTTTGAAAAAACAAATCTGTCTTAAAATGTGCTATGAAAAATATTCTACGCTCATCAAATATAAACTGTTACTTTCAGGTACAAACAGTTTGAGTATTATTTGGGCCGAACAAGTAAGGCTCCAATGGAATAAAAAAATTAATGATTTGGTAGAAAATCATCTGGCGTCACTAAGATTGATATGTAATTATTCTGAAGATCTCTTATTGTGTAATAAATGAAATCTTGACTCTTAGATATTCTCGCAAGAAAGAAAGCTAATCAAAATTATTCCAAAAAACTTCAAAATACCAGAAACCTGCACTAATGTCTCTGGATATTTGGTAAATTCATGTGGTTGATTGTTACGGCATGGTACCATTTCGGTATACCTCACTTCACTTCGGCGCACCCCACTTAAATCAGTCTTCCGTCAGCACGCACATTTTTTTTTAAGTATTCATAATTTAACTCTTGAGAAAAGAATTTGATGCATGAATGTTGAACTTAGCTATGTGCCTTCATTGTTTTGGCGCGTATGACGGAAATGGGTCCCATATGCAGAAGTTTTCCACTCTAATTATTCTAAAGATCTCTAATTGTTCAATACAAGAAATCATGACTCTTAGATTTTCTCGCGTGAAGAAGGTTAATCAGAAATTATTCAAAAGAACTTTAGAAGATGGTAGACAATTTACTATGGCCTCTGGATATTTTGCCAATTCTTCTGATTGATGGTAGTTATTCTGAAGATCTCGTATTGCTCAATAAATGAAATCTTGGATATTCTCGGGTGAAATTAGGTTGATCAAAATTATTCCAAAAAACTTCACATGATTATAGATCAGCACTAAGGTCTATGGATATTTTGAATGTTATGATTCTAACTAACATTCGAAGTTCTATATAAAATCAAGATTTACATTAATTCTAATCAAAAGGAATAAACTCGAAGCTTGAATGATTGTACCACTGTTTGTAACGAAATAATAAATTAATTCGAAATCTTTTAAATTTTATACGGGTAAGAGCATCTTCAGTGATGTAATTTATTTAAAAACAAAAACACACGTAAGTTGCAATTTCCAAACCTACGACTGGATGCCTTCCTTCAAATAACATCTGAAGTGCGGTTAGAAATCGGTAGAACTGTTTCAAACACACCGTTGGTACTTGAGCGGGTCGGTTTTCATCTCTTTTTGCCAGTGGTGGCGGGGGGGGGGGGGGACACACCCCTCATCATCCCTCTCCAAAGGTTGAGTTTGGTAAAGAGAGTGAAAAAACCGATTTGTACCTTCCTTAAAAGTTGTCCTAGCTCGCTATTCTAATATCTATATACAATCTTCACACTGCCGTACTCTAACGAAACTATCAACTCTATGTTTTCATCTACTCCATCTATCGTATAAAAATTACCACTACAGTCTGTTATTTGAAATTAGCATCTTCAACTACGTAAAAACACACGGTTTTTTATATGCTAAGCCATTCAAACTATCCTGCAGCTGAATTCCGGGCATGAATTTCATCGAAAAAAACATATTAGGTATATGTGAAATTTCCATCTCTTCGTTGAAATTAGTGCCCGGAATTCAGCTGCTGGAGTGCCTATTCTTGATAATATAGCTAAATCACCAAGACACAGGTCTTCCCTACACAGAATGTTCAAACACGTCCATAAAATCTAGATTCATCATCCAAGATTCCATCAGATTCAATTAGCTGGTAAACTTTTGAATACTGCCTACAGTCTTGAAAGAATATTTTAGTTTTTTACACAGTTGGAGATCCTCAGATCTTAATCAAGTATGGGAAAATATTCAGAGAACTTTACTAATATCTTCGTCTATAAAGAGATCTTTTGAATAGTTCATGCTGTCTAGGCAGGATGTCTGGAAGAATATAATATAACTTATGCAACGTTTCCTGGACATCTACAAAACTCCACTACAAGTTTTACAAAATTTCCTCAACTGCTACGAAGTTCCCTGAATTTATTCCAAATTCCATATTTTTACCATCTCTCTTAATTCTACGAAGATCTCTGAACATCTTTGCACTATTGGAAAAATACCTAAGATATCTTCAAATATTCATGAACATTAGACCTGTTCATTTTAAACGAAATGTTCGGAATGTAACGGGTCAACCGTGATTACTGTTCGTCATGTTAATTTGAACTTCTGTGCAAATTTTCAGCAAAATCGGTGAATAAAACGAACATTTGAATGGCTCGAGTGACACTTGCCTTTGATAAAAAAAAACACGTCTTCTGAGGATTCATATTTATGAAAAAATCATATATCAATGAAACAGTCATCGGTCGTCATTGAAAAGCAATGCAACTATGTTCTGTCAATCTAATTGACTTTTATTGGTTCTGTTGTCTTGTGAATTTTAGCTAAAACGGCCTCTTTTCTGATTTTTATCTCTCAATCTATGAAATATACACGAAAACTATGTTGGAACGAAACTTCTAGAACAATATGAGGAACATTATGCTGTACACTACACATTTTTATATCATATGGGTGGAAAATTCGTAGAACAAATACTTTAAAATTCTTCACTTTTTAAGATATCTTCGAGCATGAAACTAAGTCAAACTTCAATAAAATCACTTCGAATAGTCAACCTTTGGTTACAAAGTTGATACATAAC